ACGCTCCCGATTTTCCTCCTGTTCCCCTTCTCGGTCTCCTTTGCTAAAAGAAAATTGTGTTGGGCAGGTGCATCGGAAATTGGTATTCCAACAGGAAGTCAATGCCTGCCACATTCACAAATTAATATTTAATGTGGCGTGTTTTTATATGAATGTCATACTACAGGAATGAATGCCTTAAATTTGGGGACTTTAAAGAAACTGGAGCTGAAAAGCTGCTTAACTTAACTCATTCTGTATCCTTGTTCAGAATTCTGGCCTGCATAGCTCTATTAAAATTAAAAATATTATTATTTAATATTAATATTAAAGTCTACTGTTCAACAGCAAGGAATGGAGAGAATAAAAATAAGCGAGGAAGGCACCAAACCTGGGTATCATAGCTATGAAAAGCTAGTAGGAATGTTACAGCTCATAAGAATTACAAATTAAACATTGGAATCAAACAAAATGGTCACCACACCATGGCTTGACTACTAGTGGATCTCCAACAGCAGTGACTGTTTGGAAGCACGTTTTGTGTCAATGTTTGACTCTTAATAAGTATTCTCCAGCCTTAGTGGTCACACCATTTATTGAAGAATTTCTACCTGTTCCAATTTATTGCACATTAAATCGAGGATGTTTGCATATGCTGGGTATATACCTTTGGTTTTATCTTGTGATATATAGATCAAGCAAACTCTTTCCAATAGTTCTTTCTCAAGTGCTTGATTATTGTTGTTTTTTTGTTTTTTCCTTTCAAGAAGATACGAGTGAATACCCTGTCCCCCCAAAAATGCTTATTTGGTTTTTTTTATGTGAGGGGGATAGTGCATTTGGAGTTCGGTCCACTAGCTCAGACTGTCCATCATGCTATTTAGAGATTCTGAAAAGACCGTGTAACAGTGTACAACATAAAAAAAATCTGATTTGTGGCAGACATGGAGACTGGTTTTTCCACAACAATACACCTGCTCATGCCACCATCTCAGTGTGCTGGTGTGTTAGTCCAGGTAGACTAGAGAAACAAATTCATAGAGACTCATATGTGAACAAGAAAGAGGTTTATACACAAGAGCAATTGAATATTGAGAAAACATCCCAGCCCAGTCCAGATCAAGTGCATGAGTCTGATATTAGGCCATATGCCCGATACCAATCTATAAAGTCCTCTTCTGACTCATGAAACACATTCAATGATGCTGAGTGCAGGAAAACCACAGGGCAGTGGGTGGAAAGACTTGTGGATCCAGTGGTGGTGGAAGCATCTCAGTGCTGGCAGCATCTCAGTGCTGATGTGGGTCTCCATATGGCTCCAGGGCCCTGGTTCCATCAGGGTAGCTCCATGGGGCCTCCCCAGTTCCCAGGGCGTAACACCATGTGTATTGTCAGTAGAGCATCTCCCAGGGTGTGTGTAGAGAAGTCTTCTGCCTCCCAAGGAGGAAAAAACAGATTTCCTGGAATTCTTAGAAGGCCATGCCCACACAGAGGCCTCATTGGCTTTGATCCAATAGACAGACTAGACTCCTCCCCTTCACTCTTAATCCTCTCAAGTCTCAAATTGACACCAGATTATGTAAATACCACGTTTTGGGCAAAAAACAGCATGCCTCTCTTGCCCAATGCACCTTACTCACCTGACCTCGCTCCATGTGATTTCTTTTTGTTACCACAAATGCAGAGGGACATGGAAGGATGATTTGATGACATAGAAGTGGTAAAGAAAAAAAACAAGAGAAGTGCTGTCGGCCACCCAAACAGATGAGTTTGAAAAATGTTTCCAAGAATGGAATCGCAGATTTGACAAATGTATTATGTGTAATGGAGAGTACTTTGAAGCTGATAAGGTTGTTTTGTAAAAAAAATTAAATACATAGCTTTGGGGGGAAAAAATTCCATCTTTTTGAAGGTACCCTCTCATATTTATTTTCTCACATTTCTGGAGGCTGAAATTCCCCCTCGGTGTCAGGGTAGTGTCAACTCACTTGTTGTCAATTGCCCAGGCTCTTCTTTTTTCATTATTTTTTTTTGTAACATGATTGTGATCTGGGTGCAAGTATACATAGCAAATCAGTTTTCTATTCAAAAATGGATATACTTTGCTCCCACACGGCCTGCAATCCCCCTTCAATGTAATACTAGCACTCTTTCCACTTTCTCCTGGGCTTCCGCTGCCATTTGCCTATTTTTTTTTCTACCCCTTCCTGCCTTATGAACTCTGTTTCTGGACAAATTTAAGAATTGGAATTCCAGTCAATGCATTTCAACTTGTTCAGTCTGAATCTTTGAAAAGGCTTTGTTCTGTATCCATTTTAGCTTAATGATTTAAAATACTGTAAAAAAGAAACAGACTTTTCGCATACTCCTAAAAAATTTACATCACTAATATCCTTCAGGGATTTTCCTGCTCTCTCCTTTACCTATTAAGACTTCACTCATGTGCCTGCATGTACCAACAACAAAAATCATTTCGTCTTGATGGTATTTGTGATTTAGTATTCGCGTTGTTTCCAGTGCAAATGCTTCTGCTGAATGGCTGCAAGAGGTTCATCACTCTCTCCTCCCCTGGCCACCATAACGCTCATGTGTTTCTTCCCATAAAACCAGGCGAGAGATTTGCAAACATCGCAAACATCTGAGTATGAAGTATGAACAATAAACACTGTAAGCTCTTGATTCGTGACGCCAGTAGTTCTTGGGGAGGGAGGCATGCACTCTTTGATAACCCATATAAATAGAAGATAAACATTGGGTTTCATATTTCTTAAACTTTCCCTCATCAGTGTTTCAAAGCCCTGAACCTGGTGTGACTTCAAGCTAACAGAACTTCCAGATTCTACCAGCAGCACAAAACCCTTCCCCCTGCCCCACTGAACAGTTAATGGTTTTGAAACATTTTTGCTTCATGCCACCTTAAATTTTGCACCCGAGGAACTAAAACGTAATTGATCCAGTGTTATAATCGAATGAAGAAATCCGTGTTTTTTTTAAACATCACTAGTTCTTCAGGAATCCCCGAGTGACGCATATGGTTAAGCACAGGACTATAACTTCAAGGCTGGTATTTTGAACTCTCCCAGAGGCTCCTCGGAAGAGAACCCGACAGTCGCTCTCTGAGCAGTCACAGCACTAAACCCCTACGGAGCGCCCCTCGACTCTCCACACACACGCCGCACCCTGAGGTGGCGTCAACCGGAAGGCCACTTTCATTGCTGTTTCAGTGTTTCCATAGGCGGTGTAATTCCAACTTTTACTATTTTACAGTCTAGGACAGGGGTCAGAAAACTTTTAAGACACAAGAGCCAATCCTGTCCCTCACACTTTAAAAATTATTTAAGAGCTATCGGTAAAATTTTACAAACGAAATCGCCATTATCTGAATAATATCCTTTAAATAAAACTATAATCGTCTTATTTTTATTTTCAATTTTGCTTCCAAGCCACAAGCACATACCAGGAGTCATGCATGACTCTCGAGCCAAGTTTGTGACTCCTAATGCACAGGAAAATGAAACACAGCTCAAAAATACTTTCCATAGCATCTCTTGGGGCATTTTAATTTGGATTGCTTTGTACTTTATTGGGCACAAGTGAAGTTTATCCCAAATGTGACTCAATGTCCAGAAAGGATTGCAGCCATGCCTTTGATCTGATTGCCATCCTGTGTAGCAGATAAGACTGGCAGATCTTGACAGCCACAGCACCAGGACCACATGCTACAATCAAAGCCAGAGGGGCGCTGACGTGGTAGCAGTACCAGTAGGAGGCCCAGTCCGAAAAGACTGCTACAAAACCAGATACCTTTTTAAAACAAGAATATAAAAATGCGGGACCATCGTTTCTTGACACAACCTCTCTGTCACCATATATATATTTCTGCAGGCCATGTTTCTCTGTAACCTTTGCCTGAAGAATTCTGTGCACTTCCAATTCATGCTAAACAGACACATCTGGCATCCTGGAGTGGCTCAAATCCCGTTCTTTTAATACGCTGTGCTATCATTCTCCTTTGTCTCAGGAATTTTATTTGCTTTATTATCCAATCATTTTTGAGTACTGTGTTCTTGTCTCTATGTGTTTCTGCTCATTGAATTGTTGATTTCTAATTTTATAGCATGTTGTCTGAGAAGATTGGGTGTAGGACATCCGTTTTTTTAATGTGTGGAGGCACGCTTTGTGGCCTAGAATGTGTTGTTCTTGGAGAATGTTCCATGTGTGTCAACAAGAGTGTATATTGTATTTTCATTGGTCACACTGTTTCTAAATGTTTGTCGTGAGAGAAGTCTGGCGGGGAAGATCAGGGCTGTAGGATGGATGGGATGCAATTTCTCAACAAAATTCTTGCAGAACGTTCCAGCTGCCGGAGAGTCGGTGCACTGCCACGAGGGGAAAGCATCCACTGGAGCAGTTCTCTTGGACACTGTCTCACCAACGCATTTTTCCATTTTCTTAAAATATCTTCGGAATAAGCTCCTGTGATCTTGTGACCTCTTTGCAGTTAAAAAAAAAAAAGTCACTATAATAACCACCTGAGCTGACCTCTTCACCTTGAATTGACCTAACCCAGCAAAGCCCCTTGGAAGCCACTGTTTTGAGTGGACTTTTTTTTTTAAATGACACCCTCAGGAGACTAAGACAAGTGTATTACTGAAAGACCCTGTGTGCAGCCATCCACTGATCACGTAAACACACTCTTTGGGGGAAAAGCCTGTGCATGTATGAACTGGAACCCTGGTAGCAATACTTTTTGACTTACCCTCATCTATAGTTTTGTGATTGTGACTAATCCATTGAAGCTCAGATACTCCACATGCTGTACAACAAACACAGCATGGCGAAGTTCCCTGCGCCCCACCTTTCTGCTCTGGACTCGGAAGAGTTTCGCTTAGTTTATTAACCATTGCCAGCTATTCTCTACATCTCTCCCTTGTCCAACTGACAGGGAGAGCATTCTAATCCTCCCATACCCACCACTTGATACCTGAAAGACATCCTTGATAGTTCATCCATTCATGTTATTCTTTCAACAAATTTATTGAGCACCTACTATGTGCCAGGCACTGTATTAGGCATAAGGAATACAAAGGTGAACAAAGGTGACAACAAAGACACGGTTCCTGTACTGACGGAGTTTACAATTGAGTGGATTTGCCATCAATCAAACATATAAAATTACAGTGGTGTTAACTGCTGAGGGGCGGTATGTGGTCGTGAGAAAGTACAATAAGGGTCCTTAACTATCAGAGAACTTTGGGATTGCTTCCTTGAGGAAGCAATGAATGAGCTGGGATGTAAAAGACGAGTGGGAATGAACTAGACAATGAAGAGGGGAAAGTAGTTCAAGCCAGGGACCAGCTCACACAAAGGTCCTATGACAGAAGCAAAGGGAGACTTCAGTCTTCCCCTTGTTCCAGGCACCGAGAGAAAGAGGAAGAAGGCAGAACCCAGCAGAGCGAGGCTCGGTGAAAAAACAACGGCTCACCTCTACTGACGTCTGAAAGGTGAGATGCCAGCCACTGTTTTGAACTTTGGAGGCATGAACTCGTGTGGTGTAGAGAACAACCACAGGAAGTTAGTGACCTTAACATATGTGGCCGAAGAGGTTATAGAAAATATTTCCGTCTTTACTATAAGAGCAAAGAGAAACTGCTAATGTGGGAGGCGGAGCGTGGGGTTAGGCAGGTCAGCTTGATAAAAAACTGCACCTTGAGAAGGAGCATTCTGTCTGCAGTAGAGAGAGCACAGATCTGAGGAGTGGCAGAGACCACTTAGGAGGCGACGGCAGTTGTGCAGGCAAAAGATGCTGGTGGCAGCTGAGGTTGGTCAGACACGCTGAGATGAGGAGTGAAGAAATCCGGATGCTTACCAGGCCAACGAGAGGACTCGGTGTGAGTGGGTTATGAGGAGAAGGGGGCGAAGAGGAAAGCGTCTGAAGATGAGATCTAGGTTACCAGTGTAGGAATCGGGGCGAATTCATTGAGACAGGGAGATGACATTTGAGGTTAATAAGAACTTATTAAAGAAAATCTTGTAACTCTTGTTACTGACAAACACTGGATAACAGTAATAACACAAACCCAGAAACAGTTTCTGGTTAATCTTCCACACGTTTGCCTGCAACCGTGCATAGTCATTGTTCCAGGGCTGACATGAACATAGTGCATCAGCACATGTGGTGGTCTTTTGAACTTCTGGGACAAGAAGAAGAAGCACCAAACCAGGAGATAACAAAAACATGTCTTTGGCAATACATGAAATTGAAAAGCAAAACATGATTACTATTCCTCCCTGATCATTAACATCTTCTCTATTAAGAGATTTAGCAAAGAAAATTTTAAGATGTGTTAGATTTACTTATTTCTCATGTATGGCCACTTTTAAAACCCTGATAAGTTTAATATCAATTTATTCCTGGTTTTGTATCTGCTAAAAGTTTGGGGCTAACTTAGGCAAAAAGTCCCCAAGTTAAAAAAATCTGAACACACATCACACACACACACACACACACACACACACACACACACCACACTAATAAATTAATTTTCAAAAGAAAAACAAGACATTATATAATTTCTCACCAAAAAAATTGTCTTGCATGTGAAGTTATGACTACACTACAGTAAATGCATATTGTCAGGTTTTAAGTCAAAAGATCAGGTTACTACTTATGATTTCAGTCATGTAACTTGTCCTTCTGAATATAATTTTTTTTATAACTTCTGTGCTTCTCCTAGGTTTGTTATGAAAATTATAATGAGATTATCCTTTTGGAAATTCTTTAGGAATTTAAAATCCTTATAAAAACCAGACTGCTAGTAAAATTTTTAAAAATCTGACAAAACACAGAATGCTCAGCTCCATATTACACATTTATATGACTTTCTTGGGAAGGCCAAATATGTTCAGTTTCTGTAACACTGAACAATTATAATAAACCATAGTTAAAGTCAAAATTTATACAGTCCAAACAAATCATTCTCAAGAAACTGTCAATCTAAAGAAGTTAATGTCTCTTCAATCCTGCTCTACAATAAAAGACGCGATCTGGTGAGTATATATGTACAAGACAACCGTAGTCTATAAAGGACATAAGCTATGTAAACATTTTGAATCTTTGATTGGACCTTTGTACTTAAGCAGATGCTGTTATACTCATACAGACCTAGATGGAGGGTTCAAAAATAATTTTTTTTTTAATTCTGAGGTAAAATTTTAGGATTTAATTTGTTCTTTGTTGTCCTCAGCTCCCCCCAAAGTACCAGTTTTTCTAAATAATGTAAATGAAAATGATCACAGAAGCAAAACAAAATGACCAGTACCATTTTAAATAAAACTAAAATCAATCTACTATTTAATAGAAAAGAAATAAGTATTTTTCTCCACCTACTCAGATACAGGATGGCTTGTATCAGTCATGCCAAACAAGCAGAGCACCAATGAATTCAGAATTTTCAAGTATCTCAATGAAATGATAATCCAGCTGTTTTATATTCTATTTTAGATATGTTTATGTTTAAGAATGTGAATTTTAAAATAGACCCCACCTAGTTTAAATCTATTAGAAATATATTTTAAATTTGTAAAAGCCTATTTCTTTAATACTTTATGTACTTTCATTTCATAATACATAATTGAGAATCTCATGTTAATTCCAACTTAAAGACCCCTAGAAAATAGAATTCAAATTCTAACCATTATTACTATTATAGAAGATTGTACATGTCACACAGAAGACTAGTCAAAACTAACTTTATAAATGTAGTATGTGCACACACTCACCTAACTTAATACTACAAGAATGGTATGAAATTGTTTTATGCATATGAAAAGATATGCATAACAACCCTCTATAAGGAGGAGAGATGAAGGTAAAGAAATATTATAAACAGTTCTAAATAAGCCTTAGCAACAAACGTTGTCAAATTTAGCTGGGTGTTAAAATATTCTTTTATCTGTAATAGCAAATGCTTAAAGGAATGTATAAGTAATACATTTTAAATCAGTTGGATATATACTCTAATATTTGCCACCATCCTTTTTTCTTACAATGTGTGCTTTTTATTTTTACATTTGTACCATTTTAATATAGAAAATTATAGCGTTTACCCATCATTTAAAACTTTTTTTTTCCTTCACATTTTTAAGCTACTTTACAAATCCAGTAGGGGGATGATTTTCTTGGGTATTATTCAAACTCAGTAATTACATTATTAATTTGATAAGTATTTTTACAATAATAAATAGAGATTTAAGTATATGATTTTAATAACAAAATGGAATCTTCCTTTTTACATTAGCAAGTGACGTCTTTGTAAATAATGGTAACTTATTGACAAATGGTGCGAAATAAAATTCAGCAATCAAGTTTTCATTTTGCTTTTAGAAAATGCCTATAATGATATCAAAATTAGGAAATGACATCTTCTTTTCATTAGGCATGGAATTATTTTACAGTAGGTATTGACTTCCCAGATCACACCAGTTTAAAAGAAGGATAAACCCTGTCAAACCTAACCACCTAGAGATAGTACTGCTTGCATCGAATACTTTTTAAACTGGGTTTGGAATAGTACCACTTCATCACATTGCATTTCATTTTATTGTCTTTTCATGAAAAGGGAAGTCTTCCATTAATTGGTAACATCCATGCCATAAATATAAGCGTCCTACTCCACAGCTTAATGTGCCTGCCATTCCTGCTACTCCACTGTCATCTTCTTTATTTGATGAACAAGAGCATCTTTCTCCAAGTGAGCCTCGGCCAGAGCCATTTTCGCTCTAGCCAGTTCCTGTTTAAGAGATTCATTCTCCTCCATGAGCTGAAATAAAAATTGGAAAGTAAGAGAATTTAATCATTTTCAGAAAATATAAACTACTCCTTATAGTATCCAAATATATGATGCATGAGATAATAATAAAAATACCCAGTGCTGGGGAAGGTGCAATTAAACTGAAAATTGCTTTAGGAAGTAATTTTGTGGGTCAGAAGTTGAAATACGTAAGACTGTAAAAATGTCCATAAGCGACATGGGGCCTCTACTCAAGTACTCCTTCAATGCAAGAACAATTTGTTCTTTTAAACTGCATTCCATGATGCTCACCTTGCCGATCATTGAAGACCTAGGGGGTGGGTGCGTAAGCAAATGTGGTAAAGAAAACTGATAGTGCCCGGCTATCAAAAGACAGCCTGAGGTCTTAAAAGCTTGAAGATAAAACAAGCAGCATCTAGCTGAGAAGAAACAAAGCCCACATGGAAGAAGCACACCAGCCTGTGTGATCATGAGGTGTTGACGGGATAAGGTATCAGGCATCAAAGAACAAAAAAATCATATCATTGTGAATGAGGAGGAGTGCGGAGCGGAGACCCAAAGTCCATCTATAGGCAACTGGACATGCCCTTACAGAAGGGTTTTGGGGAGGAGATGAGCCAGGCGGGGTGCAGTATAGCACCAAAAAAACATACAACTTTCCTCTAGTTCTTTAATGCCCCCCCACCCCACTATCATGATCACAATTCTATCTTACAAATCCAGTTAGACCAGAGGATGTACACTGGTACGGGTAAGAACTGGAAACACAGGGAATCTAGGACAGATAAACCCCTTTGAACCAATAATAAGAGTAGTGATACAAGGAGGGGAAGTGGGCAGTAAGAGGGAACTGATCACAAGGATCTACATATAACCCCCTCCCTGGGGGACAGACAACAGAAAAGTGGGTGAAGGGAGACATCGGACAGTGTGAAACATGAAAAGATGATAATAATTTATAAATTATCAAGGGTTTGGGAGGGAGGGACAGTGGAGGTGGGGGAATGAAGAGCTGATACCAAGGGCTCAAGTAGAAAGCAAATATTTTGAGCATGATGATGGCAACAAATGTACAAATGTGCTTGACACAATGGACAGAAATATGGATTGTGATAAGAGTTGTATGAGCCCCCAATAAAATGATTTTTTAAAAATGTCGATAAGCTTTGACCTGGCAGTTCAAACAATAATTTACTCCCAATGTCCAAATATAACAAGTGCATGGTCTATTTTTCATGTCCCTGGAGGCTCCGCCCCTCCTTCCTACAGCTCTTTTCTTTGGCTTTTGGGCCACAGCTCTTCTTTCACATTGTACCTGTTCTGCTTAGGGCCTCTTCAGCCTCTGCAGGCTCCACCTTACCTAAATACATTTAAATTCTGGGATTCTATTCGATTCTGTAACTAGCTATCAACTCATCACTCTAGCCACTCTCTGTGGTGACTGCATATACTAATCTGAGGCTGGAACTATCATATAACTTGATCCAGCACAAAACTTTTCTTCTGAGCTCCCAACTCACATTTTCTATTAGGTGGCCAACAGGTGTTTCCCAAGAACCATTCTTCTATTCCCTTGGCTGGAAACTTTAGGGTAGGACATGGGCAAAAGCTAAGGACTTTCTCCCCCTCCCCCAAAAAAACCAAACCGCAATTAAGGATACCTTAAAATATTTGCATTCAGTTGCCAAGAGAGTTTGGGATTACTTTTAGTCCCCGCTTATGAATCCCTGCCTTACATACCAACTTACGTATTTCTCTAGAATTCTTCAATCTCCATTACAGTGTGTGACACAGTGTGTTGTGACTATGGTTAGCAACGCAACGACAGTATACTGTTCATCTCAGACATGGCACCAGAGTCATGCTTGCTGAACAGATGACTGAATCAATGAATGCACCGTGGCCCTCTCATAAGGAAATCAAACTCTGTTGAACGCTTATGGATAATGACAAGGATGAGAAGCCACTCAAATCTTAACAACTGCACTAAGAAGAATTAGAGGGGTCTGTGCAGCCATGTCCATGGCCATAATACTTGGATACTAAAATGAATGTGAGTGATTTATAACATTATGGAAAAATACTTGTTCAAAAAGTTAAAAATATATAGCACATACAATAAATTGTCTTTTTTTTTCCCAAGAGGAAAAGACGAGAGGAAAGTGCACAAAAATACTGAAAGCACTATGGAAAGTTAAACCTATTGCTGGTGAGTCAATGCTGACTCACAGTGACCCCACAGGACAGCGTAAAACTGCACCACGGGAGTTTCAGGGCTGTAATCTTTATGGCAACAGACAGCCACATCTATCTCCCATGGAGCGACAAATAGGTTAGAACCGTTGACCTTTTGAGATTAATAGCTGAGTGCTTTAACCACTGCACACTTAGGATGTAGTAAAGTCATGCTAATTATTTTTAAATACTTCCTTAGATGTTCCAAAACAATGACATACCTCAAAATGAAAAATTGCCTCTAGAAAGCCTGCTTTGCAAACCCTCGGTTAGTCCCTCCTGCTCTCCTCCTGTCAAGTGATCACCACAATTGACCCGCTATCTGCGCACTAGAATGCATCCTCTTTGACGTCTGGGAAGGTCTCCGTCTTTCTCAACCCTACACCTAGAGTTGGACCAGGAAACACTGTACCATGTTTCCCGTTTTCATCCCTTTTTCCTAACCCTTCTGAACTTTGTCCTTAGGTAAACTTTTCCTTTTGATGAAAATGGAGTGTGTACTTCCCTAGCATAATTCTTACCTTTATATGCCTAAGAAGCCCTGGAGGCATTGTGGGTTAATGTGTTTGGCTGTTAACCACAAGGCCAGCAGTTCAAACACACCAGCTGCTCTACAAGAGAAAGAGGAGGCTTTCTGGGCCCATAAAAGATTTACAGCCTTGGCAACCTTAGTTAGCAGTTCTACTCTGACCTATAGGTTGCAGTGGGTTTGGATCTGTTTTTTCATACACACCTGTCTATTGTTTGGCTGAAAACTGAGCCATGGGGTGAGTTCCTTTCCAACCTGAAGGGTAACTATGGGCCATAGTCTCAGGTTTTACCAGTTTCTATCAGATCAGTCAGTAGATGCTGAATGACAGACAAGACACATGGAACTACACTACAGGAGTGTCTCGCAGGGAGTGTGTCCTATTGAAATCCCTATGTTTTAAATGCTAAAATGAATTAAGACTAAATTTTGTTTGCTCATTACCTGTTCTCTAGTAAAGCCCTGAGAAGGCCAAGGAAGCTCCGGACCCGTCTGAGTGGCCTGCGTGATGACACTGCAGTGTTTCTTCAGATCACACTTTCCATGTGTCAGCAGAACGGAGTCACTTTGAGCACTTTCTTTCAAATCACTTCCAGTTTTAAGCATCTGAGAATCTGATCAAACAAATAAAAGTGCTCAGATAATTGACTCTCAAATATTTAATCTTAGAAAGTTTTATTGCAGCAACATTAATTTTAAAATGAGTTCATCTCTTATTATTAGGCACATAACAATATGACACAGGTAATATCAACTCCAATTATTGTTAATGGCTGCCCTGAAACAAGTGTTCTGTGTGATAAATAGGTGATGGCTGTCAGCTACCCAAAAAGGAAAAGCAGACACCTGATGCTGGGGATCCTTCAATCATGATAGAACAATGCAAAAATAACCTACAAAGATAGAATTTAGTATCTACATTTTTAAAATTACATTTCTTATGAATGTAAAGATAATGCAAGAATAGTGAAGACCTAGAAAATGCAGAACAAAGTAAGTATGAAGCTGGAGAGAAGCTATATTAATGTAAGATAAAATGGATGTAACACAATAATAAAAATGCTATTGGAGACAAAGAGGAGTATTGAATATTGATCAAGGGGTAACTTATTAGGATGATATCACAATCACAAACATATGTGACTAACAGAATATCAAAATACATGAAGAAAAAAACTGATAGAAATGAAGGGAGATATAATCAATAACTGGATATTTTCATATCCAACATTCAATTATGGGTAAAATAAGTAGGCAAAGGTCAACAAGAAATTCAATGAACTTGAGCAACACTGTAAACCAGGTGTCCTCAAACTTTTTAAACAGGGGGCCAGTTCACTGTCCCTCAGACCCGTTGAAGGGCCAGACTATTGTTTCAAAAAACAATGAACAAATTCCTATTCACACTGGACGAGTCGGCAGTTAAGCAGGACAGGCAGTGGCAGCAAAAACACCCGGCGGGCCAGATAAATGTCCTCGGGGGGCCGCATGTGGCCCCTGGGCCGTAGTTTGAGGACCCCTGCTGTAAACCAACTCGAAGTATACTCATCAACTCAACAAAAGGAAAACTTACATTCTTGGCTTATATTGAACATTCTTAGTACACGGGCCTTGATACAAACCTCTGTAAACTAAAAATACAAACCAATACAAAGCATAGAGTCCAAATACAGCGGGATACAATTAGAAATAAGAAATAGAAAAAAGTCTAGAAGACTCACAAATATGTATAATTTAAATATTCATAAAAGAACCAGTGGGTCTGTGGTAGTTACATAATCTGTTGTCAACTTTAGACATAAGAGTGGAGGGGTAGAGTTTAGCTTGTCAATCAGGTTGTAGCTTGATGACCTCATTTAGAGCCTCGAAGGAGATAAATAGCTCGCTGGAGGCAGGACACTTGTTCACTCCCTGCAAGACATTCCTGATGACAAGACACATGGAGCTACGCTAGAGCCCTGGAGCTGGAGGAGTCATGTGGAGATCCACATTAGCACAGAGATACTTGCAATACCACTGGATCCTCAAGACTTTTCACCCACTGGTCTGTGATTTTCCTGCATTCGGCATCATTACATGTGCTTCATGAGTCTGAAGAGGACTTTATAGATTGGTATCGGACATATGGTCTAATATCAGACTTATGGGTTTGATCTGGACTGGGCTGGGATGTCTTCTCAATATTCAATTGCTCTTGTATATAGAGCTCTTTCTTATACACATATGAGTCTCCCTGGGGGAGAAATCAAAAGGAAATTGCAAAATACTTTAAAATGAAAGAAAATCAAGATACAATATGAGCTGCTGCTGAAGCAGTGCTCAGAGGGAAACCTACAGTTCTAGATCCCTACATTAAAAAGGGGAGAAATCTCAAATCAATAACCTGATCTCCTACCTAAGATCCTGGAACTAAAGGAGCTAACTAGAAAAGAATTTTCTTCACCTGATAATGGGCATCTACAAAAACTCCACAGCTAGTGCAATTAATATTGAATGTTTATGGTATTCTTAACTTTTCCCCTAAGTTAGGAACAAAACAACAATGCCCATCCTCTATACTTTCATTCATTATTGTACTAGAGATATTAGCTAGGCAAGAAAGCAAAAGAGAAGGCACACCAATTGGAAAAGAGTAAGTGAAACTATTTATCATGATAAATGGAGAAATATTGAAGTTGTCGAGGATTTTGTCTTGCTTGCATCCACAATCAAGGCTCATGGAAGCAGCAGTCAAAAGATCTAAAGATGAATTACAATGGGTAAATCTGCTGCACAAGACCACTTTAGTGTTCAATAGCAAGGATGTTACTTTGAGGACTACGGTAGGCTTGACCCAAGCTTTGGTATTTTAAATTGTCTCATGTGTAATTTGGAAGTTGGACATAGAATAAGGAAGATTGTAGAAGAATAGATGCATCCGAATTGTGGTGCTGGAGAATACTAAGACATCATAGACTGCTAAAAAGACAAACAGATCTTTGTTGGAAGAAGTAAGGCCAGAGTGCTTCTTAAGAGGCAAGGATGGAAAGACTTTGTTTTACATATTTTACACATGTCAGGAGAGACCAGTCCGTGGAGAAGCTGTCATGTTTGGTAAAGTGGAAGCGCAATGAAAAAGAGGAAAGCCCTCAAGGACATGGATTGACACGGTGCTGCAACAGTGGGCTGACGCATAAGAACAACTGTGGGGATGTCACAGGACCACACAAGTGTTTCCTTCTGTTGTGCCTAAGGATGCTATGGGTCAGAACCAACTCGATGGCACCTAACATTTCTATTTAACATGACACAATCTTGTATACAGGCAGTCCTAGGATTACAAATGAGTTCTGGTTTGTTTTTAAGTCAAAATTGTATGTAAGTTAGTACTACTTAATGTATAATCCATAGTTAACACGTTAGTCATGTTTGTCTTAGTATATCATGTGCCACTTTATGCATAAAAACTAAACACTTCCAGATACTCTACATCTTTAAAACAATAACAGAAAAATATTTTTATGCATGAAGCAAAGTAGTGTCCATTTGTTAGTACAAACCATTGTACGTACCTCAAAAGGTTAATATAATAGGGGTCATAGGGGCTGGTTTAGACCTATGGGTTGTATATAAGCTGTATGTTCATAACCCAAGAATTATCCATATAGCAAACTATAGACTCATTTGAAAAGAACAAGCCAAATAAATCATACTAGAGTAAATGAGTTCAGCATGGTTGAGAGATACAGTATTAGTGTGCAGAAAAAATTGAGTTTATTAGTCAAAATCTATAGATAATAAAAATTAAGAATTAGATTAGGAAAAGTTCCAGTCATGACAGCATGAAAAGGAATACTAAGAATAAATTTAACAGAAGTATAAACTTACTATGAAAACTACAAAACATTGTTGAAAGAAATTAAAGAATATCTCAAAGGATAAAAAGAAAACCCCAAAAACATGTTCATGGTTTAGAAGACTTAATCTTGTTCAAAGGGATATAATTCCTAAACTGATCCAATGATTCAATGGTATCCCTATTAGAATCCCAGCTGGCATCGTTATAGGTAACGACAAAAAGATTCTAAAATTCAAATGAATTTGCAATTTGAGGAACCCATAATAGCTAAAACAATCTTAAGGAAAATAAAGTTGGTGGACTTACATTTTACGATTTCCTTCTTACAAAAAACCCAGTATTGAACCTTCTCTGACCACAGTCCAGGGATGCGAATGGCCTTGCTATCAGACAGAGCACTGTAAAGTCTACTATTGCTGATGTAGTTGGGTTAAAATGTAACACCTTATCATTTGAGCTCCTTTTTGCCTCATTTTAACATTGTTTTGGTTTTTAATATTTTTGGCTTTCTTTTTCTATTGGGATTTTTCTGTTTTGTCACTGTTGTTATTTTTGTGTTTATGTTTTGTATCATTTTCTCTATATGAAATCCAGAATATATAAATCTATAGAGATTTTAACATTTTCAGAAGAAAATATTCTGAAATTAATTGTGGAGAGGATTGCACAAGTCTTAATATTATTGACCAATTAAATTGTATGGTATGTGAATTATATGCCAATAAAACTACCTAAAAAAAAGTCACAACCCAACAGGTTAAATTATTTCTGCCAAGACCATTCAATGGGTAAATAATAGATTTTTATGGTACCAGACAATTGGCTAGTTATAATGAAAAGAATGAAGTTAGACCCTATGTCATGTCATATACACCTGGAATTTTGGTTCCATATTAAACATGAAATTGTTCTTATACACTAACATTTAAACTTAACTTCAAGTTTTGCTCTTTTTTAATTCTGCAGTTCTTTATTATGAGTTTGATTAAATAATACTTTCCATTTTCAACAATTATATTTATTTTGCTTTCAAAATAAATTTTAGGTTCAAAATCATTTCCCTGAAGAACCCCTAAGATATTTCTTCACACTGTCTTCAAGCATTTGGTGTTACTAAGGCGAAGTCTGATTCTTACCCTTTGTTTTTTCTCTCAGGATGCTTTCTAATGGGTATCCTTGCAAGTTCAGGACTTTCTCCAGAATGGCTGGGCGAGGGTTGTTATTTTCATTCACAGGCTCTATCAATTTGAAAACTTGTTTCCTCCTTCTCATACCACAAAATCATTGCATGGTTTTCATTGCTTTCCTTTAACTCTGTTCTTTCTGGGACTTTCTTTAAATAGATGTGGATCTATCATACCTTTCTTTAACATCCATTTAAATACATAAATACATGTATATAAATAATTTCTTCTTTCTTTTCTTGCTTTTTAAGCGAATCCTGTTTAACCTTCTATACTTGTGCTGTCCAATATAGTTGCCACTAGCCATATATAAATTTATAGATATTGGTTTTTAAATTTAGTAAAAAATTAAAGAATTCTGTTCCTGTTACACTAATTACATTTCAAGTGCACAGTAGCCAAATGATTATTGATTATATAATATTTCCATCACCACAGAAGGCTCTACTGGACATTCTTGTTCAAGATCATCAGTTTAACCTGCACCTCTTTCTATGCTGTTTTTATTTACCCACTCAATGAGCTTTTTTTTTTTTTTTTAAACAATGACTAGGTAGTAGACATTGTTTTTGGAGATGGGGACAAGCACAGGCCATTAAAAATAAATCCCTGCCCCTAGATAACTTATATTCTGGTTAACAAATAAACAAAGAATATAAACAACCAACCAAAGAACCTCACTGCCCTCAAGTCGATAGTGACCATAGCAACCCTACAGGACAAAGCAGACTGCCCCTGTGAGATTCTGAGACAATAACCTCTTTAAGGACGCTGAAAGCCTGTCTTTCTCCCATGAAGCAGCTGGTGGATTTGAACTGCTGACCTTGTGGTTAGCAGTCTAATGAGTAACCACTATGCCATCAGGGCTCCTTGAAAGAATGCAGTATATCACAGAATGATAAGCACTGTGGAGAACAATAAAAAATAAAATGGGGTTAGGAGAAAGGAAGCTGCAGAAGACATGGAAAGGCTAGATACAAACTGTCTGGGGTAAGGGAGATTTTAATTAGAAGTTGAGGAACGGGATGAAGTAAGCCAAACGGACACCTGAGAGTATCATTCAATACAGTGACAAGTGAGGGAAAGGCCCTGAGATGGAGAAATGCTTAGTTTGCTTGAGGATATCTTGGAAGACAGGAGTGAACAGGGCAAAGGGAGAGAATATAACGAAATAAACAGAGAGAAATATAGGCCATACAGGATTTTGTGGGCCAATGCAAATACTTAGATTTTCACTTGAAATGAGATGGGAAGGCAGCAGAGAATCTTGAGCCAAGTATGTCATAGGGATTATATTTTTTAAATACCCTCTTACTGCTAGGTTGACAATAGGTTATAAGGAAGCAAAAGCAGAAGCAGAGATATACTTAGGGGGATGATAACAATTCAAGTGAATGAGCACAGTGGTAGCGTGTTCGATGGTGGAAAGAGGTCAGATTCAGCACAGATTTTGAAGGTAGACTGACAAATTTGCCAATGGGTTTTAGGTGGCTATTATTTTTTACTTCAAAGATTAAGTTTTTCATTTTCACGATCTTTAATGATTGTATTTCATAAGTTTACTTTTGCTTTACGAGTTCAAAATTATATCATCTGTGATGCTGGGTTATATTTCTTTTAAAAGGGTCCCCTGTTTTTTAGCACCAGCTCTATTTTTTATTTATAACTTTTTGTCCTCACTGAATTAGTTTCCGTAGTAAACATCTTTTTGACATTTATTTTGGTCACTTATCATGTAAACGTATTATCTGAGGGATTTTATACTTCCAGAGTTTTGCAAAGGGCAAAAATGGTTTCCTTTGATATGACTTAGGATATACTAACTTAACTCAATTTCCAGAGTAATTTCTAAATTATGACTCACGTACTAGTGACAAGAGGCGAACGGAGAGAAGCTCTTTCTCTTTAAAAAGTGCCAGCAGTATTAGAAACTGCAAGGTTAAGTTCCTGGCAGAAAAGCAGAAATACTGTTGCTTGAAACAGTTGCAATATAGTTTTAATTTCTAAAGCAAAAATAGCAGTAGTAGAAACTGTAGAATCCACTGTTCAGCGGTGGGCAGCAGTTGTCCCCACCCCACCCGATTACCATCCAAGATGTGGATGCTGGATTTTAAGTCTTGAGTCTGGTCTCTAGGATCTTTCACTGTTCGAAATCCACTCTATCTATCATCTTTTTCTTTTTTAAAACCACTGAGAAAATGAGGACCTAATGTCGGGGGTTTAAGTGGAGAGAAAATGTTTTGAGAATGATGTACAAATGCACTTTACACAATTGATGTGTGTATGGATTGCGATAACAGTTGTATGAGCCCCTAAAATGTTAAAAAATTAAAAATTAAAAAAAAAAAAAGAACCAAAGGGGAGCGGGGCCACTGAGAAATAATTCATATTTCCTACAAAATATCCAATTAAATCTTGTTTTATGTGTGTGCACATAAAAATTATTTTTAAAAATTTTTTCTAAAACATATATATAAACATTAAGATTCCAGTAGATAGAAAGGGCTTAATTGAAGGGAATGCTCAGAGAACCCTGGATAGATGGACAAAGTGGACACAGAAGGTGAACAATCCTAATGAATGCTCGTGACAAGGCAAGCAACAATGGAGGTGTAAAAGTACAAGGTAATTTCTGTTACAGAGAATAAGCCAGTTTGGAAGAATATATATATACAGCAATAGAGTTACATCTGTACAATCAAAAACTCCACTCTCTGGCGAGAGGTTCATACAATGATGACATTTAAATACAATGTACCTTCAATCATCCACTGCTACATTAATGATGTGCGTATATACAAAAGTAACCATTAACTATGAATAAAAAGAAAACAATCAACTCAAAAGCAATTTAATTCACAATTTCAGGAGCTGCCTGTCTAAGCTGCTGTGTTCCCCCCATCCCCACTCCCACATATACCTCTGATATGAAAAGAGCCATCATCACTTCTTTCTACCACAAGATGGTCAATATGGACAGCTACAGGAACTGGTTCAAGGGATATCGTACCAATATGTGAACTGTCATCCTACAGGAGAGAGAAACAGTATTGGCATGCTGCTCTTCAATAATAAAATTAAAATAAGCATTTTTTTAAACACTATTTCAGGAGATAATAATTTTTAAGGCGTAAGAAAGAAATCATTGCATGCTTTGGTGTGAAAGCTGTCTGTTCCATTTAGGCATTTCCTAAATTCGAAGAAAGCTATCATTCACCACCTAGACCAGCACATTTAATTCATTGTAATAATTGCTGCTAAGAGCATATACTATAGAGACAATATATTCTCAGACATGAGTCAAAGTCCTGACAAGGCAAAGTGAACATTTAGAACATGTGAATTCAAAAATGTCTATTGGCATACTTTTAAGTTGATTTTTGTGTTAGAAATTTGTATTTTCATCGGTATCACTGTTGCAACAGTTTCATCTTCCAAAAAATGCTGAATATTCATAAGAGTAGATGTTAGAAACTCGGTGCTAAAATTTTCTATATGGCATTGCAGGAATCCATTTTTTTCTGCAAGCAAAGAGTGTATTACAGCACCAGGCCCACTTTCAAATCTCAGCGTAATCTCAGGAGAGGATTTAGAATGAACTACAGCTTTCTGATCCGAACCTATGACAAATAAACACAAACATTTAATAGTTTAGCACAACTCTATTGTCATTCAGAAGTCATCATAAATTTGTAAAATGTGAAATACATGCAGTCTTAATATTTACCCCCAAACTAACTCAAATATTTTACACTACATATATACATATAGTACTAACAGCCATAATTTCAATTTTTATAGGTAACTTTCAACTATAATAGTACTGACTTGCTAGTATTTTTATTTTCTCTATTTTAATTATAGGAGAAAGTATACCATGACATGAATATGATATACATTTCTGATACTTGGGGTGTACGTGACCATGTATTTATAAATTTGTAACATAATGGACTAGGATGAGGAAACAGGGTCCTCCCCTCCATTTCAGGTGACTCTTAAAGACAGTTCCCAAGGAGCAACAAAGCCTAACGCTTCACACTTTTCTCATTAAAACTGTCTTTGATAAACAAAAAGCAAATAGAAAAAATCTCATTAAAATGCTTTGTTCAGAAGAGTATAACTGGAGTTACAATAAATAAAATACATTTATGCTTTGATTTTGTTCCAAAAAAGAATTTGAAGTAGCTTACAAAGGTACACATACTTGAGTTTTAAAACAACTTTTAACATTTTAATAAATTACCCATAAAAAATTGCCATTGAGTTGATTCTGATTCATAGCAACCCTTTAGAATGGAGTAGAATGGTTCCTTGTTTTTCCCTTGCAATGGCCAGTGGGCTTCAACCTCTGATCTCAGTGTTAGCAGCCCAACACTTAACTCACAGGGCCCCAAATCATCCATAAATTCACTGCCATATTCTGACTTCTAGCAACCCGATACAGGGTTTCCAAGGCTGTAAATCTTTACAGGTGTAGCCTCATCATTCTTCCATGGAGCAGCAAGTGGGTGTGAACTTTTTGAGATTAGTAGTTCAGTGCCACCGAGGATACTAAATTATCCAAAAGATATCTCTTTTTTTAAAAATGAAAGTTCCTAGTGGAACTGCTGAAGTTTTTGAGTTGACCCTCAGCGTAGATATTTGGTTTAAGCACAGAGGCGACAATATGCACTTGGGATAATCCTATAAAACAGTGAACAAGCAAGGACAAGATCGGCTGCGGAGGAAAAGGAGACGTTGCTGTTGCTGTTAGGTGCCAGAGTCGATTCCAACTCATAGCAACTTGTGCACAACAGAAGGCCATGCTGCCAGGTCCTGGGCCCATTGTTAAAGCCATGCTGTCAATCCATCTGGTCAGGAGTCATCCACTTTTTTGTCGCCCCTCTACTTGATCAAGTATGATGTCCTTCCCCAGGGACTGGTCTTCTCCTGACATGTTGAAAACAGGTGAGACAAAGTCTCGTCATCCTTGCCTCGAAGGGGCACTCTGGCCTTACATCTACCAACGTAGAAGTAAGTTTGTTCTTTCAGTAGTCTATGGTACTTTCAATATTCTTCTCCAGCACCACATTCAAATGTGTCGCACTGATTCTTCTTTCGTCTTCAATGTCCAACTTTCACAAGTATATGAGGCAACTGAAAATACCATGGCTTGGGTCGGGCACCCATTAGTCTTCAAAGTAACTTCCTTGTTTTTCAACATTGAAAAAGGTCTTGTGCATTCAGATTTACCCAATGCAATGTATCTTTTTGTTCTCTTTTGACTGAAACTTCCATGAGCACTGAATGTGGATCCAAGCAAGACAAAATCCTTGACAGCTTCCATCTTTTCTCATTTGTCATGGTGTTACCTACTGGTCCAGTTGTGAGGATTTTAGTCCTCTTTACATTCAATTGTAATCCATACTGACGGCTGCAGGTAGGTGGCAAAGTAACACATTTATTTAAATGATTGTGCTAAAGGACGACCACAATGATCTTCCAAGCAGCAGAGGGGGGGAAAAAGGTCAATTTCACAATTCACAGATTCTAGGCAGTACAAACAAACTGAAGTTTTTTTTTTTCTGGAAAGACGCATATCTTTAGGTTATTGTGGTAGCAAAACTATTATTCCAGTGGTTTACCTAAAAGAACCCCCCACCCCCCAAAAATAAATTACTAGCATTAGGAGTGACTTAGAGTGATCCCTCAGGGAGGGGAGAGCTGCCCTAGAGGGTCTCGGAGGCTGTAACTCTCCAGGAGTAGAAAGGCCCATCTTTCTCCTGCGGAGCAGCTGGTGGTTTCAGTGCTGACCTTGCGGCTAGCATCCCAAAGCATAACCACAACACTGCCAGGACTCCTTGTAAGTTCTCATAAGACTCCACTAATTAAATCTATAACGAAAGGATATTTTGATTCTCAGGATAGGAAGAAAGAAAAAGGATGTGGATTCTGATCTTTTACTTAGATTAAATGCAAGCATATTTGTGAGGGGTTTGCGGTACCTGAAAGTAAAAAACATATATTAAGAACAGTCTCCATACATAAATCAAAGATCCTGTCCTAGGAGATGGCTATAAGGCAGACTCGCTGGCAACAATTTGTTTTTGTTTTTGGTTTGAGGAGAACCTGTGTAATAAATAACTTTGCTACCTCAGTAACAGAAAGATATGTGTCCTTCCAGAAAAAAAGAGTCATTTGTTTTTTATCTCTTAGGTTCTATGAATTGTTTTTAAATGTTGATTTCAGGACCAGAATTAAATTTAGTGATTCGTATTAGATCCCCGTGTGCAAAACGGCTCCCAATTGGCTGCGATTTGAAAGGCGGCAGGCTTGAACCCACCCTAGCAGTACCTTACAATGACTGCCGACCCGCCTCTCTAAAGAGGAGAGCCCCAGACCCCGACAGGGCCTGGCTCTATCCTGTAAAACAAGGAGTCACCGGGAGAGGAAACTGCCTCCAAAGTAACAGGTGTGTTTCTTTGTTAGCACTACTTGCTATCAGTCAAAATAAAGAAGCTTTCAGCATTATTATAAACTGGTAAGACTTTTAAAAATATTTTAAAACTCAGATATTAAAAAAAATAAATGGCAAGAGAAAGGTCCACAACACAGTAACTGTTAGACAATGTTCTCTCTGTATCAAGAAGAAAAAAAGTTAATTTGTAAATTTAATAAGAGCAATAAACAACTCAGTTAATTTGACTTTATTTCTCTCGTTAATGCGAAATAGTTTTAAACAAAAAGAGTACTGATTTTGGAGCATGATAAAATACAACAAAACTTTACTAGTCAAAGTTACTCCCTACTTCCTCTTGTAAAATGGAATTATTATATTAGGGTCTTCCTATTAAAGTCGTTGCCATCAAGTATATTTTGACTATAGCAATCCAATAGGACAGAGAAGTGCCTCAATGAACTTCTAAAGCTCTGTGTCAGGGGTTCTCAACCTATGGGTAGCAACCCCTTTGGGGGGTCGAACGACCCTTTCACAGAGGTCACCTAAGACCATCGGAAAACACATGATTTCTGATGGTCTTAGGAACCAAGACACCGCTCCTCTATCCATCTCCAGGTGGGTCCGTCCACATGCAGATACGCCCAGATACGAGTACTTGGCGTGAAGACGGCATGCTTTAAGACAAAATTTCATTTATTTGTCATTAGAAATAAATATTTCAGGGATTGATCAAGGGCAATGTAACCGAAAGAAATTACTGAAACCCAAATGAAGGCTGAGCATGATAGTGGGACAAGAGGGCAGCAAAGGAAATAAAGGAAAGAAATAGGAGGCAAAGGGCATTTATAGAGGTCTAAATAAAGGCATGTACATATGTAAATATATTTATATATGATGATGGGGAAATAGATCTACATGCATATATTTATAGTTTTAGTATTAAGGCAGAGCAGATGGACATTGGGTCTCCACTCAAGTACTTCCTCAATGCAAGAACAGTTTGTTCTATTAAATTGTCATTCCATTATGCACACCTTCCCGACACGGTCACTGAAGACAAAGCAGGTGCATAAGCAAATGTGGTAAAGAAAGGTGATGTTGCCCAGCTATCAAAAGATATACCATCTGGGGTCTTAAAGGCTTGAAGGTAAACAAGCGGCCATCTAGCTCAGAAGCAACAAAGCCCACATGGAAGAAACACACCAGCCTGTGTGGTCACGAGGTGTTGAAGGGATCAGTTATCAGGCAGCAAGAACAAAAAAACCGTATCGTAAATAAGGGGAAATACAGACTGGGGACCCAAAGCCAATCTGTAGGCAACTGGACATCCCCTTACAGAAGGGTAGCTGGGAGGAGATGAGCCAGTCAGGGTGTAGCCACAATAAAACATACAACTTTCCTCTAGTTCTTAAATGCTTCCCACCCACCCCCACCCCCCGCTATCATGATCCCATCTACCTTACAAATCTGGCTAGACCAGAGGATGTACACTGGTACAGATAGGAACTGGAAACACAGGGAATCCAGGACGGATGATCCCTTCAGGACCAGTGGTGATACCGAGGGGTGATACTGGAGGGTGGAGGGAAGGTGGGGTAGAAAGGGGGAACCTATTATAAGGATCTACATATAAGTGAGTGATGGGAAACATCAGACAGTGTCAGATATGACAAAATAATAATAATTTATAAATTATTAAGGATACATGAGGGAAGGGGGAGCAGGGAGGGAGAGGAAAAAATGATAAGCTGACACCAAGGACTTAAGTAGAAAGCAAATGTTTTGAGAATGATGATGGCAACAAATGTAAATGTGCTTGACATACAATGGATGTATGTATGTATTGTGATGAGTTGTATGAGCCCCGAATAAAATGATTAAAAAAAAAAACAAAGAAAAAGAACTAAATATTTCACAATACATAATTACATATTATTTTGTGATTAATCACTATGCTTTAATTATGTTCCATTTGTAGCAATGAAAATATACCCTGCATATCAGATAGTTACATTATGATTCATAACAGTAGCAAAATGACAGTTATGAAGTAGCAACGAAAACAGTTTGATGGTTGGGGGTCCCCACCACATGAGGCACTGTATGAAAGGGTCGTGACATTAGGAAGGCTGAGAACCACTGCTCTATGTAATCTTTACAGAAGCCATTGTCCCTCCTGTAATGCTGATTTGGAACAAATGGCACGCTTACCTGCAATTTGCAGGAGGTGAGGTGACAGGGCGCTTCTCTGATTGTTGCTGTTCGGTGCCACAGAGTTGGCTGCAACCCTACGCACAACCGAATGAGGCACTGCCCGACCCTGCGCCATCCCCACACGGGTTCCTCTGCGGGAGCCCACGGGGGCAGTCACGGTTTCAGTCCACCTTTTGAAGGTCTCCCCCCTTTTCACTGCCCTTCTACACTTACCTACTGTCATGTTCTGTTTATTTCAATGTGCTGCGTACCAGATACAGTACTCTGGATAGAGCAAATAAAAATAATACAACTATTTTAATTACATATTTTTAAATTATCTTCAAAAGAGTGAAAGCCCTAAGTGGTAAGTAACTCCATGTAGACATTGAAGAGGGGACAACTTACTGTGGCTTCCTCTTTACACCCTGTGTCTTCTTACTTAAATCCCTCACTGTTCCAGTCCAAGTGCTGAGCTCAGCGTAAAAGACTGCAAGAATAGTAAACACACGTTTCCCCCCTCAAATAGCACGCTAGCACAGAACATGTTGCCTTATAAGTAAGACCAGGGACTACAGAAATTGACATTTATTCCACTGTGAAGCTACACTACATTTTCTAAGATTCCGTTATCAGTCTTTTCACCTAGAAAAACGTTCAGATTTCTGAGACCAAGGATGGGATGGCTGGAGAAGTAAGACTCCGAACTCACCAACAACACACACAAAAAGAAATGAAAGTTTAACAAGTTACATCTTTCTAGTAATTCAATCAAAATGCTATATGACAATAAGACAACCTACAGAAAATCCACACAACCCCATTATTGTTATTATAAATAAACAAATGAAATTGTCCTTGAGTTCAGTTATGTCAAAAATAGGACTGATAATGAGTCAAATGTCTAAAACACCATAAGTTTGTCATATTGTAGAATCCTGTGTGAAACAGTAGCAAAAATGGTAAAACACCGTTTGATCTTACCTACTGAACGATTACCAAGGTAATGCCGAAAACTGATGTTGCCTAACTGGTCTGGCGTCACTTGGTCCACTTGAAGACAGATTTCAGTATCTTCCCCTCGGATGTGAATTTCCCCATTAACACCGGTAATTTTAAACACCACAATTGACATCTATTAATAATTGCATAAATAATATTAGTAATTTAACACCAAGCTTAAAAACGAAAGAAAAAAAAAGAAGCTACCATAGTCTCTAAAAACACAAGACAAAACAAACCAAAACAATTCTTTTAACCAACAGAATATGACAGCTACATTATAGTGAAAACCTCATTTCCTTTCTTTTTACTCAGACTAGAAAAGATCCCCAACCCCCCAGGTTACAAAGATGCATTACGTGACATTTTCATGTGCAAGTTTTCACTATAAGCTATGCATGAAATATTTTCTAAGTCTCCCAGTAGAACATTTTACTGAGTAACCCACTGCCATTGAGTTGATGCCAACTGCTAGGGTTCCCATAGGACCCGGTAGAACTGCCCCTGTGGGTTTCCAAGACTGTAACTGTTAGTGGGAGTAAAAAGCCCCATCTTTCCCCTAAAGAGTGGCTGGTGGTTTCAAACTGCTGACCTTGCAAATCACAACCCAGGACGGCTTTAAATAAAATCAGTACATCTTTGTTTTGTACAAAGCTTCTCACTGATGGCGATCCTGATGACCATCAAACTCTACGAAAGTGTATTTAAACTGAACTAAATTAAAGGTACAACAATAAGATGGGGTGGAAATAGAAAAGATGGGAGACCCCCACCCCAACTATCAATAAAACAAATTTGGAAAATTGCAACGTAGAGGAAACTATTTCAGAAAGAGAGGAAAAGTACTTCCCAGAGTAGAAGCAGCAAAAGGACTCATGCACCATCTAAGTCCATTGACTACACACATGAACTGAAGACGCAGAGTGACCACGAATGGACTCTCTCGTAATACTTACCAGGTCGTCATGGTTGTCCGGAGCACCCTCTGAGTTTGTGCTGATGGCATCGGGAGAGGTTTCACCCAAATGCTGGGTGCCTGTGCTGGTGTTCACATTCTCTGCCTGGATTGGGTCGTTTGTAATCAAGTTCTTTTTAAAACCTGAAGTGATACAAAATAAACATAAATTAACGTGTTTTATCCATCATCTAACAAGGTCAAGTTTATTTACCCAAAAAAGTACAAACCCTTCAATCAGTAGTTTAAAAAAGCATAAGTCTAGAAAAAGGAGGATTGTGGTTAGCTAGCAAAATAGTGAGAAGTCGTTTCCCAAAATAAAATGTTATAGACGTGGACTGAATTGTACATGCAGAGAGAGAGAGTGTTTCATAATGAATGCTTTCACCACAATTAAAAAAAGGTGTCAGGGTCTAAACTTAGGATGAAACCAAAACAAAAACCAACCACCACTCACCACCCCAAGTTGGCTCCAACCACCACTCACCACCCCCAAGTTGGTTCCAACCACCACTCACCACCCCCAAAAGTTGGTTCCAACCACCACTCACCACCCCCAAGTTGGTTCTCTCTCCCCCTGGCTGCAGAGTTGGCAGGCCAACTTTGCCTCCCCCTCCTTCCAACTGACCCCGCAGCTTCCCAGGAAAGGCAACATTTATGTGAACGTGGAAAGAAAGCATTCTGCGCACAGGTACCAAGTACCTGCATGTAAAAACAGAGTTGCCACAGTGTCAACTTCACGAGGACGTCTAGGTACCATAAAGTTCCGTTTCAAGATAGTGAGCAAGCAGGAACAACGCAAGGGAGCCTTCTGATGGAGCTCCCTCACGCAGAGCAACAGCCTCAGAGCAGCAAGAAGTTGCTGGCATTGGCATGAACAAATTTTCACTCGACGGTGTCTTAAATTCTTAAAGCAATGTAAGACTATTCATATATTTCTTGTAACATTAAAATTTTAAAAAAACCATAAAGGGTCTGCTACCAATGAAACTCAATCCACTGTCATAAGAGAAAAACTTAGTTCAGAAAAACAAAGACTATATAGTTATAGAGCCCTTAAATGTTACTACACAGCCCATGTTCAGATGCATGGCAATAGACAATATCCCTGAAAGCATCTGCTGCTGGAATCTACCCTGACACACTCACTCGAAACACAGATAAAACTTCATGAACAAAGATATTAGTGATACCACTGCAATACCAGCAAAACAGTCTGAGCAATCTAAACATGCAACTACATTAACAGGCTGGTTTCCCTTCAAATAAAATGTAATCCTTATTTGCCTCAAATCCCCTAGGTTTCTTTCGTCTGTGGAAAACTACTCTCTGATGGCCCAACTTTCATTCCTATTCACAACCATTCACAATGTCCCTGATGGGAGTGTGTCTAATACTTTCTAAGTCATTCTAGATTGGGGCAATGGTTGCTTCTGAATAAAATGCTTCTGATGTAGTTCCATCATTTCAGGGGCAGTGAATTCCTTCATGCAGCTCTTCTACCACAGTCTCTGTAACTCCCACCAAACGCCCTGGTCTGGGAAAGAAGGTGTGGGGGGAAAACACGGATAGGATCCACCTGGGAGTAACTGTTACTTGTGATTGCCATCCTGCTGGGTATAAAGTGAGCCCTCTGAGAAGCAGGAGGAGGGGATCTCACTACTAGCAAGAACCAGGAGTGGAGCATGTCCTTGAGAGTCCTGCACAGTGAACGTCTTTGATCCAGAAGACAGCTTTGACATGAAGAGTGGCAGTGATGGGCTTTCCGGCCTACAGAGAGCAGGTAAAGCTGAGTGCTTTGGGGCAGGAGGCTTGTGGAGTGGGGTGCCTTTGGGTACTTAACCAAGGGAGCTGTACTGGCTGACCTCTAGAGCAGACTGCCTTTGGGTTGAGGGTGCCTTGGGGTACCTAACTCAGGAATCTGAGTTCACTGACAGCTGAGTGGTTTCAGGTTGAGGCTTACAGCGGGGTGGTATGCCCTTTGGGCATTTATTAGCAGCTCTGACAGAACTCTGTAACATGTACTTACTGAACAACTCTATCCTGAGCATTCCCACTTGAATTGTAACCTGTTAACTTTCATAATAAACTTCCTAATCTTAAGCATTGTCTGTGAGTTCTGTGTGGTCATTGTAATAAATTACAGAACCTACGAGGAGCAGCAGAGTATTATGGGAGACAAAAAATAGATAGTCTTATAGATGACAGAACACCATCATACATAATTCCCAAGGCAGCAACAGTTAAGACAGCAAATGATGTTTTGCACGAGACAAGTGTGCTGCAAAAGATTCTTGACTCTTCAAAATGTTAAACAGAAAAGACTTCACTTTGAGAACTAAAGTGTGCCTAATCTCTCACATCTCTTGTTCCATGACAGAAATTTATTCTCTGGCTTTTTAAATATCAATGGTGGTCTTTTCTTACTCTTTATTTTTATGTGTATATTATTTTCTCTTTGATGTTTTATTTATTTTATTGTTTCTGTTGGGTTTCCAAGTTTGTGAAGCACAGGAGTGGATGAACAGAGACGATCACTGAGGGGATGTGGCTGGGGGGTATGGGGGACTGATAGTGATGTTGTGATGATGTATATATAACTCTTAACTGTGGAAGTATATGATGTGTGAATATTACTTCAAGAAAACTTTTTTTTTTTTAAAGAGACAGAAACCACATTTGGCCAATGGTCACTGTGCGTGGAGGGAGAGTTGTTGCTGAGTGGACACTGAGTTTGTCGTAAGGGTGGTGGAATAATATGGAAAAGGATACCAATCATGGTTGAACAACATGAAGACTATAATCAGTGGCAATGAATTATATGCACATGTAGACATTATTGAACTGGAGAATTTGTCACGTATATTTTTACCACGATTGAAAAAAAAAATTACACGAATAGCAATGAGTACAAGAAAGAAGAAAATGTTCTAGAATTGATTGTAGGGATGATTGTATAACTCTTCTTGATGCGATTGAATTATTGGATTGTATGACATGTGGATGAAGTGCCAATAAAACTGTTCAAAAATAAAAAAGCGATAACCTAAAAGTGAAATAAAAAAAGTGTGCCTAATTCAAGCCAGGTATTCTTAATCGCTTCAATGTAGGCATGTGAAAGCTGGACAACAAATAAGGAAGCAAAGAATCGATGCCTTTGAACTCTGATGCTGGTGAAGCATTCTGAATACTGAAAAACAAATCTATCTTGGAAGAAGTGCGGCCAGAATGTTAATGGAAGCAAAGGCAGCAGGACTTTATCTCAGGTGCTTATTCAATTCGCAACGAGATGGACTGCCACAGTAGCTGCAACAATGGGCTGAAAGACAGCAGTGATTGTGAAGATGATACAGTGCTCTGTTCTATTGTACCTGGTGTCATTAAGAGTCAGAATCAAACGGATGGTACCGAAACACACAAAACTTAAATGCAGATCTAAGAGTCTGAATGACTGTATAAGAAGAGTCAATTATCATGTTTAAGGATGAAATGACACAACCATTAGAAGGCTGGCTATAATCCTCATGGTATAATACATATATATACATACATACATACATACATACATACATATATATATATATGCTTGGATGCATAAAATCTTTTTCTGATTTAATGCTTTATTCAATATTAATCAAAACACTTAAACATCACTTTTGTCAAGTTTATGACATCCTAAACTGTATTGATTTTACCTTTTTCCAAAAATAAATGGATATCACTTCCATCACTCTCTAACATCTGCTCTTCCAGGATCATGCTGTCAAGGGAGATGGTATCCAATGAGCTTTGAGAGGGGCTTCTTTTCACATTCTTATAAGAAACACTGAGGGGAGTCACATTGGGTGGGCAACGTTCCTTAGACTTTCCACTGTTAAGAAACAAAACTATTAGAAAAACTTTACCAAAAAGGGCAAGAATTCTAATTTTAAAATACTGTTAAAAAATTAAAATATTTCTATACTACCTACAAGTTTTAATGTAATATGAGGAGGCCTGGAAAACTGAAATTCCATTATATTTCAATTCCATTTTTCCACCAGTTTTTTAAGGATCCCCCCCCCACTTATATTGAAGAAAGTATCGGTTCATGAAAACAAAAAGTATAGGTTCATGAATAATAAGACACGAATCAGCCCAAACAAAACAAGGCAAAGGATTTGATTAGACATTTGTCCAAAGAAGATACCAAAACAGTGCATGTAAACATGTTCAAAGTCCTTAGAGCAACGCATATATATAAAAACCCTGATGAGATCCCAAGCCACTGCCAATAGGATAACTATTATTACAAAAAATGGGAAGTAACAAGTGTTGGCTAGGATCGGAGAAATGGAATCCCTCAAGTGGGAATGTCATTATGGAAGTCAAGAGCTAAACATAAGAATTATCCTCCTATGTACAATTCCCCTATTTTGTTAACACACAAACTATAAACTAATGATATGTGCTATTGTTAATCTTAGGTACAGACTGGAAGACATATTTGTACTTTGCTATTAACTATTATTCACAGTCAAAAGGTGGAAGAAAACAAGTCGTGTCCATCAATAGATGAATGGATAAAATACGGCATATCCCTATAATAGAATATTACAAAGAAAGAAAAGAAAAGAGGGGGGGGGGCCTGAAACAAAACCAAAACAGCACACACAAGTACATACACACAACAAAACAACGTAGAACACAACATTCCACAACATGTTGTTACCTTAAGGATGGCTGTGACGTCAGTGTTCTGACTGTGGAGGCGTCTTCCTTCCCGATTCCCGGGTTGTCACTGAGCGAAGCTGTTTCTGGAAGAGACTCTTCAGCTTTGGCTAGGGACTCATTTTCTTTACCCGAACTTGAAATTACAGTTGGGTTTCCACCACTATCAAATGACAGTATACTTGAATCTTCTCTGTAGCCTAAGACACGGCTTGAATCTGTCGAAGATATAACTTTTTTGTCACCGATTTCTGATCCGATTTCTACGGAGCTGCTTTTGTAAACAATGCCGCCACTTTCATCTTCACATATTTTGCCTAACGTTTTATCTGATAAATAGTCCGTGAAAGAAATTCCCTTCTGCAGATTTGTATCACTAGCTGACTTAAAAAGCACAGGATCCTTCAAAGGGCCATGGCTGAGGTCAACACTCAGAGATCTGCTGTCTGCCATATGATTAACAGTTACACTTCTAATTTGATGGATGCCACTATTGGCTTGTTTTCTTTTTGAAGACAGAATCTCTCCATTTTCTGGCGGCAAATAATGAGAAACCACTGGGCTCACTCTTTCAGAAACAGGGGACTTCAGAGTATTGGCTTGGCACACTGGATGGAGCAAAAGAGCCACTTCTGCACTTTTAAGTAAAATTCCAATGCAGATTGACATCTGGCTGGCAGGACTGCCCGTCACCGCTTCTACATCTTTCTTCACATTCTCTGAAAGTAGAATGAGCGATTCGTGCAGGAAAAGCAGGAGCAGGTACTGGTGGTGATTGACCTGCATGCTGACGTGCTTATGAATGTGAACCAGAATGTGAAGATCTGCATCGGATGAGGAGGAGGAAAGTCTTAAAAACGTACCGGACGATGAGGGTTGCTGTTCACCATTGGCCACAGGCTCAGACTCAGTACTGTAATATTCCTTCAAGAGCTTTTTTCGCTTCCAGCGGCTAGCCAGATCACTAGATTCGCTTTGCGAAGAGTTTAAAGATACCTGATGACAACTCTGTAGCTCTTTTTGTGACTCTGCATACCTTATGGGTTGGCAAATCCAGATGGAGAGAGGGAAGGCATCCACGAAGCTGACTGGCCGTCCTTTCCCACTCTTTGTCCCTTCATAGTCTACCCAGAATTGAGAAAAATACACAACCCAAACATCTGTGGCAGCAGAAGTTTTTAGAATGTACTTGTTCAACTTGGGCGAAATATTCCCTTTATAAACATCATGCATTTTGGTATCTTGTTCGTGAGCATGTCTCTGGAAGATTGGATGCAGAAGATTAAAACTGTCACAGGTTTTGGGGAAGCTCGTATATGTTTTACTAAAAAAATCACACTCTTTGAAATCTTGAAAGAGAGCTTCTAGATCAGAATGCCGGCAGTTTGGACAGTGCCTTGTATTGGTGGCAATCATTTCAGAACTCTGGATAGAAATTGCACGTGGTTGATCTTGGTGACTTTCAGGTTTCATTTCAGAAGGAATGACAAACTAGAAAGGGGGGAGAAAAATCTAGTCCACTTTACAAATCCACACATACTGACGAAAAACAATCACGAACATAATTTATCTCAGGAACACAATTCATCTCAGATGTACTATTTCTTAACATTTCCTCCTAAAATACTAACTTCTTATTAGATGTGAAACAACAGATTACAGAAAAAAAGAATAAAAATGATTCAAATTATCATGTATTAATGCATATTATACCTTGAGTACATATTCTTAAATCAAGTCTCAAGTCTGGAAAAATGGATACTTTTTTAATAGTGCATTTTAAATCTAAGAGATTTGGAGGAATAAATGGATGAAAGACTGATATGAGTGAATAGATGTGAAGAGAATAATTTTTCTGGTAGAAAAAACATAAAAATATAGATCAAACCATTTCTTAAAGTAACACTCCAAGGGTAATTAAATACACACCTCAAAAATTCTTAGCAAACAAATTTAAGTGACCAGTTTTAGAACTGCTCACAGTCTCATAAAGTTAAGGATGGTAAAATTATATTTTAATCTGTAAATAATTGGTATAAGGTGTCCCTTTATTCATTTTAGAACTGCTCACAAGATTATGAAATTATCTTAATCTATAAATATCATGTTATACGATATGTCCCTTTACAATAAATATTATAAAATCGTTGAGAAAATCTTTAAAAATTTTGTGATACAAAGTGTTAGGAATTCTTAACTTCATTTTTCAGAGAAGAAATTAAAGAGACGCATATTAACTAGAAACTGACCAAGTCATATCCTATTTACTACACTATGCTCACTGCCCTGGAGTTGATGACAACTTACAGTGCTCCATGGGACAGGGTAGAACTGCCTGTGGACTTCAGCACCGGCAGCTTTTTATAGGAGCAGAAGGTCCTGTCTTTCTACCAACGAGCAACTGGTGGTTCTAAATTGCTGGCCTTGCAGTTAGCCTCCCAGCGTGTAACCACTACACCACCAAATATACTAGCTCTATATTTTTAATTTCCTTTCTTTGGAGCTTTTTACATTATCAACTTTCTGTTATCTTTGGATACTAATAACCACATAAACGTGAAACAAACAGAACCTAAAGTTTAAAAGCTTAACTACATTATTTATCCTTCTTTGAAAAAAAATTTCATCAGCTCTGCTAAGTAGAGAAAATGTCTCATCTGAGTTTTACATTAAAGAAAACAAAAAAGTTGGTCAGTGAAAAATATACAAGTGAAGTTAGTGAAAGAAAAAAACTAAACTAAAACTAAAAAAAAGATTTAAGTAGGAAACTAGAAGTTTCTACAAATGAGAATCAAAATTAAACTGAAATTGAATACCAAAATTAAGACAAAATGAAGCTGATTTTTATTTGAATTCCTAGGTTAAATTATACTGTAAATGTCAAATTCAGTTGCATTAAAATGGTTTTGTTTTCAGCTAGTTATTTACATGGTACCTTTAGCATTAAGCCATCAACTCGAATATCAACATGCTCATCAGATTTTGAGTTGTCATCCAACTTGTAGACAGCCATAAACTGATTCAGGCTCTGTTTTAAATCCAACAGAAATTGATTTAACCACAGAATGCTTCTCTCATCCACAGTAAACTGTAGGGCGTTCAGCTGGCTATAGAGGTTGGGAGATGGAACTGTGAAAATATTAAAAATAAATAAATAATGGAAAAATCACAAAGTTCTGCATTCTCTTTGAAAACAAAAAGGGTATTTTAAGACAAATTTTACTCTTTCTTAAGAAAAAAAAATCAGATACAAGGTTAAGTCTAAGTTTTGCAACAAAAATATACAAATGTTAAACTATTGTTTCTCCACATATCCTCCACCTAGACCTACACACTTCTGAAGGTGATGTTGCCTCTCTCTGATTTACGTCATTTCAGTATCATTAAGATACCTATCTTGTGCTAATTTGAAATGTTAAGTTTGGGAAACAAAAAGAAATGGGAAAGGGCAAAATCGGGGATGTAGAATGGAAGGGGTTAAGTTTCCAAATAAATTCTATAGGACAACCTTTGGTACCCTTGAAGAAGGAGCAGGTGCACCAGCAGGTTACATACCTGATTATGATGGGGGGAAATTCCCTCTGTATAATGCTCCTGGTCTTTTCCTCACCAATATATTTCTAAATTTTCTTAAAACTGTTTCCTAATAAGCCTCCATGATTGCCCTGTGTCCTTTGGGAAAATCTATGCAGATTACTCCTACGGAGCCTCACAGCCTTTTAAGCTGACCTCACTGCTCTGAATTTCATGGCCCAGGAGCTCTCCTTAGAAGCTATTGTTTTAAATAGACCATGCTGGCAGTGGAATTTTTATACTAATGAGTTGTTAATGTTTTAACTTAAAAAAGGGAATTATTCAGTAACTCAAAATAACAAGCTGTCTAGCTAATGGACTAAAAAAAAAAGTATCTCAATACATAAGCTGCATTAAACTTACTTAACACCTATTAATTACAATGAAATAAACCACACTATTTTACAATTTCCAACATCATTTTAACCTAAGCCTTCCATCTACCACAAATCACCCTGTGTACTACTACAGTATTAATCTTCCTTAGATCCTTAAACTCACACGAATGAATACTTGTAGGATGGAGCCAAATGACAGAGGGCCTTGAAAGGCACTCCAAGATTAGTGTAACCCACGAGCCGATGGCGCTTAATCACGCTTCAGATCTGGAACTGAATTTGTTCCATTTGGCTAGATTTGAGTCAAGCAATAGATAGATCTATAAAGGAAACTGTAACAATAGTGAAGTACACCCATCTTAGAATAATCAGCCATTTGAGATCACAGGGGCAGCCCTTGTCCAAGGACAAAGTGCAGAGCACTCAGGAGAAAAGCAAGAGTGGAGGTAGGAAACACACGAAGGAGGTTTGATGTGTGGTGTTGCATTGAAAGGGTTGCAGCAAATGAGATGAAGCAAAAATGTGTATGAATTGTTTGATGGAAAATGAATTATCTGCTCTGTAAACCTTTACCAAATTGACAATAAGAAGTAAAGGGGG